TTTCGCGGCTGTGGAGACAGGTCAACTATCATCCATTGAGGCTGGAGGTGCCACGTGGGGCTGTGTTGGGTAGTTGAATTGAAGAGCGAAATGCTCTGCTCAGTGACCCAATCGCCTGTAAAGGTTGGTGATCTTTGTGCCGTCTGATTCGCAAATCGTCTGGCTGATAGCGGGGGAATTGCAACTGGTGGTCTTGATGATGCAAAGTAAACGACAGAACTTGCCAGCTGATGCAGTGGCTTCCATCTTATCAGTTTGTTTTGACCACCATCATTCACGATCAGAGCGAAGATTTGCTTTCAGCTGTTGCGTAGTAGATTGGCGGTGTTTGTTATGCTCTGCACCAGCAGGCACCACCCGTCGGCGATCCAGCAATTCCGAGGATCTTCCCGAGATCCAGCTTTTAAGAGTGGAGCGAGAGAAGCCACAGTTGGACAAACAGGGCGACAGCAAGGGTTATGGCAGACTTGACCAGTGTTGATCAACATCCAGAGTGGGAGAGAGAGCGAGATTTTTGAGAAGTCTTTGTTGGTACTCATTCTTCACCACTAGATTCTCCAACTTGTAGGTGTTCAGTCGGGTGTGTTTAGACCTGGGTGAACCACCGAAACGCATGCAAACGGACGCATGATCGGTATCGACGTATATTGACCATAATGATCGACAGTCTCGTACGCTGCCACGCTACCTCCGACTTATAGCTATGTGGTCAATCGCTGACCAGCGCTGGACTGATGATGGAGGGCGCCAAGTGGCGTACTGGTGTCCAGGATGACGAAAGCTCGCGCTGGAGAGGAAAAGCTGATGATCAGCACACAGACTGAGCAGTCTCTGTCCGTTGTCTGAGCGAGCATCATCATATCCATGCGGTCCCCGAGGTGGCGTTCATATGGCAGCAGCCGACCGACACGCGCGTTGAAGTCTTCTGCCAAAACAATGATGTCTGTTCTAGGAGCCTTTAGGAGCAGCTCGTGAAGGTTCTGGTAGAACTGGTCTTTGATTGTGTCCGAGTTACATTCAGTGGGCGCGTACGCAGAGATCACGAAGAGAGCACACTTTTCGACTGGACGTCTGCTAACTTTACAAGAGCCATAGAGCCACATCGCACAAAGGCGACTATTGATCGGAATCCAGTCAAGCAGAGCAGCCTCGGCTATAGCACTGAGGGCGATTCCGACACCCGCTTGCCCAGGTGCGGCGGACTCGGCGTCGCCAGAGAGACGAAGATGGAAGCGGGTGCGTAGGTGGAGCGGTGACGCCAGAAAGTAGACCGAGTTGAAGTCCTGGAGTCGCGTTTCACTCAGGCAGCAGATATCAATTTCAATGGTCGCTAGCGTTCGTGCAAGTCCAGCTTGCTGACCGATCTGCAACAATGTGCGTACGTTGAAGGCTGCAAGTTTGAACTGCGTTTCTGGTTGCAGGAGCAAAGATGGGAGACTTCGGGGCTGGCAGCTCTCTGTTGAACTCTCTTCGGTTGAGTTGGCAGATGTCAGGGGAACAGATTCATCTGTGGAGCTGGGGTTGATCGTCATAGATGAAGCAGGTGGAAATGCGTCTGAATTGTACAAGGGAAAAGTAGGTAAAATAGTAGCGTGTGCTTGTGAATTTGGTATAGTAGCTTGAGTGAATAGCATCGTAGCACCAAAAGAGCGTGTGAATAGTTGTAGTTGTAAGTCCATGGTTCGTCAGTATGCGAGATACTACCCGGTTGCCTAGGCCGATGTAGGTAGGTTGTCTTAGCGGACTACCGTCCCAGCCTTTGCCTAAAGGGCCTAGGCCAAAAGGCGGTATGGCGAGATGAGGGATTCGCACCCGTTGGTAGCCGGTGACTGGGCCCTCATTTCATACGCCTTTCGGATGAAGATAATCCATACCAGGGGCCAACACTTGAAGTTGGAGACAAGATCCGATGCCAGGATTGCTTGCCCGTGTACAATGTCTCCAACGGAGACAAGGGGCAGTGACTTTATTTACTGGAGAGTCATCCGACACGTCGCAGTGTTGTTAAACGGATATTTGTGGCTTTTTATAGGGAGAACGCTTGCCAGGCGAAAACCCATCACGTCCTGGAACGCTGCCGCCGAACCATTCGCCGGAAAGGGGAAATTCACGAACCGCCGAGCTGGTACCACGAGAAGGATGTTCGACGAGCCAGGCGAACTCGTCAGTGGACTTGAGCGTTATGGTGTTTAGATCGGAATTTTCTGCAGCACTGAGGTAGATGTGTAGAGTGCAAGTGAGTAAATACCTGTTGCAGTCGGATTTTCAAGTACGAAGTTCGGGAGTAAAAACGATTTATCATTTAGGATCCCTGGTAGATCGGGGGACAAGCAAGCATCTGGGGCATTGAATATAAATTACGACTGGCGTGGTACTGAACCATGGGTGTCATTTGAAGGAATTGCATAAATAGTGGTGACATATTTGGCATCCGTGTGTAATGTCATTGTTGGGAATGCCTGCAGAACCATCCCCGCTTTCACTAAAAAAGGGTCTCTGGAGAATGCTTGCTTAAGAGTAGCTGCGCAGATGTAGGGTGAAGTAGTAGGAGACGTTCTCCAATTGTTTTTACTTGTAGACTAGACTATAGACTAGGGAATGAAAAGCAGGAGTATACAGGGGATGATATTTCGTGGTATCTATCGGCTTGAGATTCGGCGTGATGCTATGGTGAAGAAGTTTTTGTACGATGCGCTGAATGAATTCGGGGATATTGCCGATTCTCTGTAAGTGCCGGTCATCGTAGTGTGCGACTTATCGACGTGTGACAGCATCCTGTCTCCACCATCCAGTTGTCCACCTGTAGATGTGCATTGGTTGTTGACAACGGTTTCGGATCTAGTACTAGTGCCCCTTTCAGTCACTCGTTCCTCTTGTTGAGGTCCATTTACGGGTCCTACTCACGAAGCGTTCAGTTTGCGCCGATCGCTGGTCATTACACTTGTAGTGGCTATTACATTCAATAGCTGTGGTTTGAGGGGTTTTGTAATGTTGGCGTTAAGAAAATTCGACGTTGTTACTCCGAGGCTCGCGCAGTCGAGGTCTACGCCAACGCAGTTGCTTTCTCCATCGAGTGTTACTGCTTACTGGGTTGCTGTATGAAGTCTCGAGTCGCATGTTATCCTTGCTTTCGGTGTTTGTGGCACAGTTTCAATAAGTGAATCTTTTTAGAGATCCCCTATCAGGTTTAAGCAGTGCGTCCTTAATCTGAGAGTGTTGTGTCAGGATTAGCCGACACCGCATAAATCTCTCTGCCAATACTTCGCTTGAAAATTTAAAAATAATTTGACAACACTGTACTAGGGTTTCTGATGCACAATCAGTTGAATTTAACTAAGTACATACTGCTGATACTAAGTACTGATGTTTTCACTTCGTACAAGTTATATTTATCAAGAAAGTTGAATACGATAGCATTTTTCGATCCACGCGTTCGATCTTGTGCTTCAGATGCGATAGATGTACTAAGGCGTGCCACGTTTTTCATTTAGGTTGGCTCGAGGTTTTCCGAAGGATTTCTGATGCATTCTAAGGAAAGCAACTTATGCCTAAGTGGCTCGATGCATGCCAAAGTTTCTTTCACTTCAGAGTTAGTGTTCAAGGGAGGTAACTATCATTTTGCCGAGTAATAAGACTGCTATTTGAAAAAAGCAATTTTATGCGTGTTTTGTGTTTTACTGGCGCCGTTTGTGGGTGTACAACTTTTGTCTGCTGCGTGCGACCAGGTTTACTCAGAGCCAATGTGGACTAATGTCTATAGTATTGGCAGCGATAAAGTGTCCACAAATAGGTTCTCCAAATGTAACCGGATCGTGCCATGCACTACTAGACAGGGCAGAAAATCATATAGGTTGTTTAAGATTTCTTCGCAGATTAGATTTCTCGTACGTATGTGATCATTGAGACACGCAGCGTTTTGTCATTCGCGACTTGTTTCATTTCGGAGCACTCCGACTGACCGAATATATTGGTTTGTTTGGTTTGAGCTGATGTGCTACTTGATAACGAATTTGTTCATCGCAATCAATCCGGCTTTTTTCTGAATGCTTACCGCAAAAAACGAGTAGGCATTATATTACGCGGAATAGATAACTTATGTTTGTTAAAAATAGACGATGGGCTTGTGAGCCTAACCCATTGGATCTATTTAAAGAACTGAGTATTTTGTTAACCCCGCATTTTGCGACGCACAAATTATGTATATTTTTTATCAGCTACTCGTGTCAATCTCAAATCTGTTGCGCAGAAGCATAACTCGATTGATTTCATTACATAGGATGGGGCCGATTTTATATCTGAAAGAAAAGTTGTAACTAAAAGAAATTACAACTGATTCCCGAATACACTGTCCAAGGACCTAGTAAGTGAGTCTATTAGGCTGGTCGACTAGCTCAGCTTTGCGTCAGCAACACTGTAATTTGAAACGAAATGTGAATGGACACGACACGAAGTTTGTGAGACCACAAGAAGCACGAGAGCTTCCACCACTAGCAATTTGCAGAAAGTAGCATGATTAAGGCAAGCCAAAGGAGACAACCAGAAGTCTGTTGAGTCATTGATCATTCGGTCGTTTAGATGTAAAGTCATAATAAATTACTATTTCCAACACTACTAGTTTCCGCAATTCAAGTAGATTTCGAAAGACAGAATATTCATGGTTCGCTTCTCAATAAACCGTCACCTTACATGATGTGCACACTGTCCTGACTTTATCAACATTGCAAATCTCCTTTAGTGTCAGCATTACGTAAAACTAGCTTAACAAATGGATTAGTGTATCTTTCAGATGCTTACATTGCAGTTTTGAAGACCATGCTATCAGTTTCAAAGCTTTGCTTCATTTAACAAAATATTATAGAACTAAACACCTAAGGGGTTATCCGACGAATTAAATTTATCTGTAATACCTATCGATTAAATGTAGTATATTCACAGGTACATAGCGCTAATGTTAAGTAGTTAGAAAAGTACTGTAACATGTATCATTTCATTTTGCAGGACCCTCTGGTCACGCCTGCAGAACACATGAATCGTCACGACTTGCCGTAACCACAGTTCCATGAGTGATTTTGGCTTGCGAAATCCTGGCAACGGAATCGACGATAGCGACACTAACATTCCTGACGAACAAGGGATGGCAACTAAACCCACGGCGCCCCCTCGAAAGTTATCCACCGCTTTTAACGCATATCCTTTGGAGTATTCATCAAATTTTCTTGGGCATGAGAATGAGGTGATATTTATGCCAACTGGACCCACTGATCTTCCCTTATCTGTTTCCCCCACAGTCGATAGTCAACACTTACCGTCTCATTTTGGCGTTCAATCTGGGAACCAACCAGTCTGTCACGGATTTTTCTTTCCAGTTTCTAGGGCAACAATCCCTGTACAGGAACAACAACAAAACAGGGTCCCTGATTCAGTTTATAATTATCCCTCGGAAAGCGACAATTTTCCACATGATACCAATCTACTTCCTTCTTTGGAAAGTGGAGTGGAAACACGATTATTAATTCTATTACTTCAGCAGCTTATCTCGTTGCAATTAACTGGGCGGCTGTCCAGTGATAATATTTCTGACATGGTTCCAAAACCTGACGAAACACAAGGTGTTATACCACCAGTTAACCAACAGTCTTTCACTCCTGCTTTTCGATCCACTCGAGATGCTCATCAGGAAATGCACACTTATTTGGTTCCAGTTGAAGCCAGATTACAGGATCACGAAGGACTAGCTTTCCATGTTACTCCAAGAAATCCGGTTGCTTCACCGAGTCTAAATACAGAAGATGCCAAGCTAACAATGGAATGTACCACAGATAGATTGGTCCTCTATCCATACCCTACACTAGAAAAGTCGCCTTTTGGTCACTCCACTGAATCTGCTGTTGATTCAAAAATTACGGAGTCTGCAAACTCGCCAGCTGCTGCCCTTACGTTGAATGATATAAAAGACTACATTCGGCGTGGTTCTCTGGGAGCCGCTCCCAATCAACGTACCGATTTCGTGAAAGATATCAAGGGGCATGCCAAACCAGGCTTTGCACTGTTGAGCATAAGACAAGGTAGCACTGTGCATGATCAAACTCAAGCCCCCAGATACATAGTAAAGTCCTACTCAACAGAGGAGAACTTAGTTAGTTCCGATATTCCGGAGCACTGTAGTCAAGAATGTCCGGCGGCACTTCTTGCAACCATTAGCAAAAAGGGAAATAAGCGAAAACAACGCTTTCATAGGTCAAACACAGATCCACAGAAGCGGTCAGGTAAAAGGAACGGACGCATTTCTACAACATCGGCCCCCAATATTGACAAAGTGAACGATATGTTAGATACACGACAGATTACCGTGTCTAGGTTCCGCGTCAGCCGTTTCGCAGACAAAAAGCAGGCTTGGCTGGCTCCATTGGGCTCCGGATGTTTCGTTGTTCATGATTTATGGACCACAAAACTACCCGAGTATGTTCTCAAACATGTGGGTGAATCCAAGAAGGTTATCATTGATTCGAGTGGGATTGCTTCAAGCTCGAATCATGTGATATACCTCGAGGACAAGTTGGGGACCGAGTGTTCTGTCTGTCAGTCAACACTGCGTGAGTTCTATGACCGTTTACATGGGCACCTAACTGGCTTTATACATGTTATGACGGAACATGATTGTAGTTTCTTTTGTTACGTCAAACTAGACATCCTCTTAGAACGCTGTAGGTCTTAGATGAACTAAAAATAGTCATTTTACAATGTTAGTTTTGAATGCGTACCTTAGACCTCAGCTTGTGTTATTCGCCAACTTCCCTAGTGCATTCTGTTTCTGTGAGAATACGTAGCAAAGGGTATGACGAACTGCCACGTTTGACATAGTATGCTCTCTATGAGTAAATGCGAACCAGTTCTAGGCTTCCAAAAGAAGCATGCTTATATAGCTTTTAATCTCCACAAAAGCTGTTTAGCGGGTTTCCACATTTAGTTATTTTCTACTTTACATTATTGGTTTCAAATGTCCATGCTATTAGCTAATATGTTTGCAAACGGAAACCACAGTCATCTCTTTCTAGTGGATTCTAAATTTAACTAATAGCATCATTTGTTCCCCAAAACAATAACTGTTTATTTCTGTGGTGCATAATTCATTTACTACACCCAAATTACTGAAGCTATTTCGCACTTACAACATTTTGTACGCACATTTATTTTCAACTTTACCGTTTGTTGTCGATGAGATGCATGTCATATTAATTGAATCCACGACAATTTGTCACCCGCGACAGATCCGAACAACAGAACTGTTTTAAGTATATTTGTAAAAGAACATCGAAACCGTCGATTGGATAAGAGAATAGATGATTTCGAAGTGAGATACCAACCATTTGCCCGACCAACGTCAAATAATCTTTAGTCATGCGATTGTGCAACTGTTCGTGCTGTACTGTTGTACGGATGCGAGACCTGGCCCATTCGTAAAGATGACTTGCGCAGGCTATCCGTCTTCGAGCACCGCTGTCTGCGGTCCATTGCCCGTGTGTGGTGGCAGCACCACGTAAGCAATGTGGAAGTTAGACAGCGTGTCTTGGGACGTGGAAGCCACTCGCTCGAGGAGCTCATCTCACTGCATCAACTGCGGTGGTTGGGACACGTATTGCGCATGCCTGTCCAGCGTTACCCCCGTCGTGCGTTGTTTGCACTTGCTGGACAGGGCTGGAAGAGACGGTCTGGTGGACAGCCTACAACATGGAGAAGCCGCATGAAAAAGTTGACGAAACAATTGGCCTCGGCCGGTTGTTGTCGACTACCTGGTTGGGGTCCGAGAGACGAGGATACTTGCTGGTTGAAAACCTTGGAAGTTATGGCTCAAGATCGATGTCAATGGCGGACGTGTGCATCAGTGTGTTGCGGTGTCCCTTCCTCCTCCCCCTAAAAACGAACAAACTGAAAAAAATATTTCAAAAACTGTGAGTGGTAAACTTGACAAAAAAAGCATTTCTTGTTGCTCTTTTCTTATTATTCATATTGTTTTCCTATTCAGCCATGATTCCGATGGCACAATATCTGTACCACAGATTGTGTATAATATATATATATATATATATATATATATATATATATATATACGCGATAGCCCATTATGTGTTCACTACAATTGACAGTTCGCTGCAGCAACTTTCAAATCAGATTATCTTCCACATGGTCCAATAAGCATTTAGTCGGCAGTTTCACACTACTGGGATTCATCAGTAATGCGAATTCCTCTTCTCCATCGGATCCGAACCCATGACCAATAGCTGTTCGTACAGCCAGCAGCTTATGCCACTGAGCCATAGGGGACAGCAGCGTGTCGTCATGAATACTGAATACTGTATTATAGAGCAAGTAGAAATGGATTCTGTACAACTCTTTCGAGATATGGCGAAAAACGTTATAAAAGTTGTCAACCTTGAATATCATTGTCGTTCTCATGTAAAATTTAAAATATCCGACTTACGATATTTCAGGATTCACAAATGTGATGTCATCGTAAGTGTACAGTCGTTCTCTGAATCGAATAGAGGCAAAATGCAAATCTAACAACGTTTTGAACTGTTGCACAGATGTTGCCTCAATCACATGTTCGGGCAAACTATTCCAAATGTTTACCACTCTCCGTTAGAAGCACAGTGGGTGGGGAACACGTTTCAAATCCGGCACAACAAGTTTGTATCTGTGTCCGCGTGTGCTGCATGGCCCTCGTAAGTGCAGCATTGGCCTTAACATGGGGAACTCACCGAGATGTAGAATTCGGTAGGTCATAATGAGGTCGACTCGCACCCGACGGTAGGACAAGGTGTAGAGTCCTAGTTTCTCGCACCGGTCTTCATACCCAAAGCCACGTAAACTCGGGATGAGCCTGGTAGCAACGTGTTGGACCCGTTCGATCTTTTGTGCCTCGCCTCGGGTAATCGGAAAGTAGGTGGGCGAACCGTACTCTAGCATTGGTCTAATGATAGAAGAGAACAGGCGAGTGGCAACCTCTTCAGACCATGTGCAGAAGCTACGTTTGAGCGCCCAAAGCATGCGCAGTCCGTTCCGATATAGCCTGTTCGTGTTGTCCACGGACTTCAAATCGTAGCGTGAGAGTACACCTAGGTCCTTCACGGAGGGTGTGGGATATAGCGTTTGGCCGTCAAGGGTGTAGGTTCGGCCGTCTGCACCCTTCCTCGGGCTCATAAATACCGACTTGGCTGGGTTGACCAGGAGAAGAACTTCTGCAGACCATGTGGATAAGCAGTTGAGATCTTGCTGAAGTAGGCCACAATCATCGGGAGCGTCGATTTCTTTCCAAATCTTCATGTCTTCCGCAAATAATTTTGGCCTTGCAGGGCGAATTATACTACCAGCCTCAAGTGGTTTGGCTAACTGTTGAGTTACAAGCGAACTGCGATTTAGCACGTCTTATCCTCTCCTTCCTTGTAACGTTGCAGAGGGAATGGTAGACCCCGAGAGACACGACTTCCACTAACAATATTTGTGTATGACGTAGCATTGCGAAACTGTTATGGTATGTAAATTATTACATGTCTGCGCTGCATGCGCTGCTGGCTGGCTATACAAGTTGTTAGTAGTCATTGATTCCTGTCTGGTAGAGTTTAGAAATGGGTATTATTGACGAATCCCGTTATCACGAAACGGCAGCCTTATGCTTTTTAGACCATGTGAAAGTTGTTACAACGAACTTTCAATTACTTACGTACTAATCCCCTAATCATGAGTATACATAAGGGATTATTATGTAACCAAGGATTACAAGCCTGCTTCGTAATCCGAGAGTGCGAGTTCGACCATCGCACTATCCTTGGCCTACGTGCGACTGCTGGTGATTACTTGGCAGCGAAGCCTCTGTAGTGTGTACCTGTGTACTACTGATGCCTTCTTTTTTCATGAGAATAGGTGTGTTTCAACAATTCGAATAACTTAACCAATTAGGATACTAACTTCGTATTTCATATTTTTACTATACTATTTATCAGTCCAACAAAACTCTGTTTGCATTTGGGGCATGTGTCAAGCGAGATCACTAATATGTACGTCGTATCTATGTATTCTTATAGTTATTCGCGTATACCGTCTGGACCTTGGCGGTAATGGGAGGAGCAACTTTGGCTCCTTAAAGATAAACATTATCAAAAGGATCCACTTTGTGTCCTGCACTTCCCTTTTACGTCTTTTTAAATGATACAAACGAAAAGTAAATGTATGTATGTAGTAATCTCAACAGTCTAGCAACTAGACATAGAGCCATCCAAGCCATGGAAATTAGCAGAAAAGGGGAAGTCACTGCGTCATAATCATGGTGACATACTAGTTGGAGGTGAGCAACACACTTCAGCTGTGCCGCAAGAAGAAAGGAACATTTTGAGAACAAGTACAATGAAACATTTTAGTTTGTTTTTTACACGCCGATTTTTCTTCGTTTTTGTCATTTTCGACGTTTGAAGTACTAAACGTGTGAATCAACACAATTTTGTACACCATAATTCCACTGATTCCGGTTGCGGGCCATGTCTTCAGGAGTGTTAAGCCATTAGCATTCCTCATTTTTGGGTCCCCAGACTGGAAGACGTACGGATCCAACAGCGGCTAGACACGACGTCAGCGATTTCATGTGCTGCCGCCAAGTGGAAGGCTGACCACAGCGTAGTCGCCTGCAGTCAGGTCCTTGACGAGCGAATAGAGCGCGGCGTGGTAGACGCTCAGGTGCCATGCGTAGGACGTGACCGAGCCATCTCAACTGGCGCAGCAAAGCCAGTTTGTTGAAAGGAATACTCGCATTTTCCAAAGTGCGACGTCGAACATCATCACTGTTAACTCGATGTTGCCACTAAACGCGAGCAGTCTTCCTTTAGCAACCGTTATCGAAGGCAGAAAGACGACGCATGTCTTCCACTCGAACCTTCCAGGGCTCGCTCCCATACAACAACACTGAACGAACAGATGCGCTGTAAACGCAGCCCTTTAGCGAGAATGAGATGTCGCGACGACGCCACAGGTGCTTCAGCGTAGCAGATGCTGATCGGGCTTTGACGATGCGAAGATAAACGTCTTTGCTGATTGTGCTCTAAGCAGAAACAGCTCCCGAGATAGACGAAGCTATCTACCTGTTCAAGTTGTATACCTTCGAGAGTGAGCGCGGGAGCAGGTGTAAGCCAATCCTGGACGGAAGCTCATGCCATACTTAGATGCTTCAACCACCTAACGATCCGGAATGAGTTGCATACCCTGAGGATCTTCATCAAGTAAGGCGATCTCATCAGCATACTCTAAGTCGGTCGCGCGCTCACCCGGTAGAAGTTCTAGGCCAAAATGTTGGAAACCTTCTAGAGCACTCGATAAAATGTCTTCGATTGCGAAGTGGAAAATGTATGGGGACATAGCTCAGCCCTGTCGCACACCGCTATTGACAGCGAATGACGAGAAAAGCTAGCCATAGACCCTCCCTCTGCTGACGGTATGAAGGTAAAGTGCTCGTAAGGTGGTGGTATATTTCTCTGGTACCCCGTTCTTTAGCAAGTAACGCCATAAGCAAGTCGATCAACCGAGTCAAAAGCGGCACATATGTCTA